CGGGGCTCCCGCAGTACATCCTTGTTCACGCCGTGCTGGGCGTGCAGGCCAATCACCCTCACTGTAGGGGTTTGCTGACTGAGGCCTGGGATGTTGCTAAATTGTGGAAGCATTCCGAGCCTCCAGCGCGCTTCTTCGGGCATGCCCGCAGCTTCCCCGGGCTCCGCCCGCCGCTTCCCCGAGCGCTCCTTCGCGCGATGGTTAGCTTGTGCCTGCTGTGGGAGTGGCCCGAGATGGCTGCCCTGGTGCTGGCTGGTTTCACGATGTCCCTGCGTCCAGGCGAGATTCTCCACGCGAAGCGTTGTGACTTGTCGCTGCCATGCGACCGCCTTGAGCCGGAAGGCGACGCCTTCTTGTCGATTGCAGTTCCTGAGAGTTGTCGGTCTTATCCGATTCAATACGCTCGTTGTTCGGATCGAGCGACCGTCAAAATTATGGATATTGTGTTTCGGCATGTGGGCCCCACCGATCCGCTCATGACCACGACCTCTGGTCAGAGCGGCTTCCGTACTCGGTGGAACCATCTACTTGTCGGCTTGGGCGTGCCGCTCGCCAAGATGCCTGCGGGGTTCGACATCACACCCGTTGGCCTTCAAGGCACAGGCGCCACAGACTTCAATGCCGCTACGGAGCATTTGCCACGCGTCTTCTGGCGGGGCCGCTGGCGCCAGGCGTCCACCGCCGAGGGATATCTGCAAGACGCTGCCGCTTCTACTGTCCTTGCCGCCCTCCCTGAGGCCTCTCGGTCTCTGGTCGAGTACTTTGCGTCTGTTAGCGACTACCTTGTCGCGTCCTTCCTGAATGCTGGCCTTGCCGGGTGGCCCATTCAGCTCGCAGCCGCCCGCCGAACTCTTGTCACTTCGCAAGGGCTTTGAGCATGGGTATGGCTGCTACGACCTCCTGATGGTCGTCCAGGGGCCCGTGTTGGACACGGCCACCTGAGTGCGCCGCACGGTGCGATCGCGGCGGCCCGTCTCTCCCTACGGCCCGCCGCGCGCGCGCCGCGCGTCCGCCCCGAGACGACTGCTCTTCTGCGCAGCGAGCGGGGATGCACCTCTCTATCCCCATTCGCGCCCGCTACGCAGTCGTCTGCAGCTTCTCGGCCCCCACCCTCTACCTCCCTCCTTCTTCAAAGGCTGGCCTGCGGCGCTGCTACGACCTCCTGATGGTCGTCCAGGGGCCCGTGTTGGACACGGCCACCTGAGTGCGCCGCACGGTGCGATCGCGGCGGCCCGTCTCTCCCTACGGCCCGCCGCGCGCGCGCCGCGCGTCCGCCCCGAGACGACTGCTCTTCTGCGCAGCGAGCGGGGATTCTTCTCCTCAGCCTCAGCCGCCTCCTCCTCGGTCGACAGGCGGCCTCCTCCCAGATCGATGCTGCCAAGCATCCACTCCTCGACATCTTCGAAGCTCTTGCGGGTGGCGGGGGTGAGCTCTGATGGGCTATTGGCCGCGTGGGGGCTGCTCGTAATGCTTTGGCCGCTCGTGCTGCCAGAGCTGCTTTTGGCAGAACGACGGCGCCTCGGCGGCGTGGCCTTGACCTGACTCATCGGCACTATCACGGCGTACTTCCTGATATCTGCAAACTTGACGGCGGGCTGCTCGCGCGGCATGCGTGTTGTCCTTGAGCCAGAGTGGCTGCCGATGCGCCCCCCCGCGCAGCGCTCGTCTTCGCCCCTGCCACCCTCCACCCGCCTGCTCACCCCTCCACCCCTCCTACTCACCCTCCACCCTCCTGCTCACCCCATCTACCCTCCTACTAACCCCTCCCCCCCACCCTCCCACCCCTCCTACTCACACCTCCACCCTCACTCGCCTACTCACCGCTCCACTCACCCCTCCACCTACTCACCCCCCCGCCATTGACTTGCCTCTCCGCGCGGCGGACGTGGGATCCAGCCTCCTGCCCGCGAGGCCGGAGGGGCGGCGGCCTGCGCGCGGGCTTCCTCACGCAGAGCTCGCGAGCCTGGAGCCACTCGAGCTTCCTCGTTCCTCCTCGCTCCTCCTCGCTCCTCAGCCTCCTCTGCCTCTTCTGCCGCTCCTAGCCTCCGAAGCCCGAGCCCACGCTGAGGTCCGAATCGCTCACGGCGTGCTGGGCTGCGCTCCTCTTTGCGCTCCTCGGGCTCCTCTTCTCTGGGCTGCGCATGCGCTTCTTGGAGTCTTTCTTCTCAGGGTTTTCCCCCATCTTCGTCGTTTTGTCCTTCTTTGGGGGGCGCTTCTGCTCGGGGTCATCCTTCTTTGTGTCCTTCCTGGCCGCGGTCGCGGCTGCGACCGTTTCCTCACTCTGGCTCTGGCTCGACGCCTGGCTGTTGCCATCGCCGTCGTCGTCCTCATCTTCGCCTGGGCCTTCATCCTCACCCTCATCCTCGTCCTCAGCGGCGCTTTCATCCTCCTCCTCTTCCGCCTCCATCTCCTGGTCTTCGTCGCCCCCCTCTGGCGCACATTCTGGTTCGTGTGCCGATGGCTTTCGCATCGGCGCACGTGCTGCTGGCCTTTTCCTCACTGCCTCGTCCTCGACTGGCTTCGCTGGCTCCGCCGCCCCTGGCCTTTTCTTCGCCGCCTTTTTGTGCCCGCCGTACCCGCCATAGCTCTTGAGGTACTCCTGTTTAGCGAGCTCGAACTTCTCCTGGCTGAAGTCTCCTGCGTAATTCTTCGCGAGCTTGATCATGAACTCCTCGAGCTTCTCGAAATGTGGCTTCACCGTCACCTGCCCGACCATCGCTGGCCTCTTATCGCCTTCTTTCTTGATCCAGACGGCGACGAACTCTTGCCTGTCGGCGCCAGCTTTAGCGGGCGGCCTCGAGTACTTCGTCACGGTGACGGAGCCCTGATCCGTATCCACATGGTGCAGATCGCCGCTCGAGCCACCCTTCTTGTCGGAAACGTTGGCCTGGTGCTCGCGCACCGTGTATCCTGGCACCTTCCACACCGCCTCGTCTGGCCACGTGAAGGCGAGCTCCTCGTCTGGCCGCTGCCCCTTCATGGGCACTCCGTACTCTGGCGGCGAGCGCCTCTTAGCAGGGCCTTTCTGGCGGTACGCCGCCTTCTTGTTGTTGTCCCACTCGTAGTCGTAGTTCTCGCCCGCGGCCTTCGTCTTTGCTTCCTGAAGGGGGGGTGCGCGGGATGCGGAGGCGTGGAGACGGCGAACTTGCATCGGGCCCGACCTCTCCTCACCACCCCCTCTGTCATCCTCATCCTCCCTCGTCCTCGTCATCGCCGTCGCCCCGTCGCTGCACCTACACTCACTCCTCGCCTGCTCCATCCTCCCAGCTTCCCGCCCCCGTCGCGTCCTGCACCACCTCTGGGAAGTGGTCCTCCAGCCACGCGTAGGGCTCCCTGTCTCGCGCCTTGATCTTTGCCTGGCTCACCACGCGCAGCATGGCACGAATCCGCTGCCCCCCCCTTCCTTGGGGTGGGGGTTGAGCGTGTGGAAGTTGCATCGGGCCCAGGAGGTTCGATGTTTGAGGCTGGAGGCGCGAAGAGGGCTTCCAAGATGCAATGTCTACCAAATTTATTCCAAATTTATTCCAGAATGATTTTGGAATAAATTTGGCATAAATTGCATCGTGCCCGACCCCTTCTCACCCCCTCCCTCCCTCCCCAACCTCCGCCCATAGCCTCATCTCTCTCTCTCTCTCTCTCTTTCTCTCCCCCTCTCTCTCTCTCTTCTCTCCTCTCTCTCTCTCTCTCTCTCTCTCTCTCTTTCCCTCTCTCCCCCCTCTCTCCCACCCTATCCTTCCCCATCCCCATGACCAGCGGCGGTAGCGGCGACAGCCCCGTGGTATTTTCGTGGCCACCTGATCGGCCCAGCTCTCCACGGTGTCGTCCAGCTGCCACTTGGACTCCTTCACCCGAGCGTGTGCGACGAGGACGGACTTCAGCTGCGACTGGCTGCACGTGTCGCGCGGCGCCAAGACGGCGCGGATGCCTGAAACGAGTTTCACGTGCTCCACCACATCATCGGCCGAGGTCCCGTCTGTATCGGCGCACACACTCTCGGGATCCAGGACGGATTTCAGCATCACCCGCGCCAGCTTGGTTGTCTGGTCGCTCGTGAGCTCGGAGGCTGGCCTGGCTTGGCCTCCTCTGCCACCTTGGCTCATGGCCTCCGAGCCTCGAGCCTGGCCTCCTAGCCTCCTCTGCCTGGGGCCTCCTGGCCTCCTCTGCCTGGGGCCTCCTGGCCTCCTCTGCCTGGGGCCTGGCCTCCTAGCCCTCCTCTGCCTGGGGCCTCCTGGCCTCCTGGCCTCCTCTGCCTGGCCTCCTGGCCTCCTCTGCGGCCGCCCCGCGCGCGCGGTGGCGGGGCCGCCGCGCGGCCGCGGCGCGCGGCCTTGAGGTGGACGAGAGGCGGGAGAGCGAGAGCGAGGGAGGCGCGAGCGAGAGAGACGGCAACAACACGAGAGGAACGTACGGGCGTGTGTACATGGAAGTAATGTGCATATACACGTACGCACATGTATGTAGTTGTACATATATACACATATACATACACATACATATGTATATAATGTTGATATGGTATATGTGTATATATGCATATATAAGCGTACATGCATATATATAATATATATATATATATAAATATACATAGAAATGGCATACCTATGTAAAAACGTGTTTTACTGGATCCACTTTTCTGTTGGACCTTTTTCCGGATCCACTTTTCGTCTTGGATCCACTTTTCTTCCGGATCCAGAAAGTGGATCCTGAGGACCTCTGGGGACCTAGACCTAGACCTAGACCTAGACCTAGACCTAGACCTAGACCTAGACCTAGACCTAGACCTAGACCTAGACCTAGACCTAGACCTAGACCTAGACCTAGACCTAGACCTAAACCTAGACATAGACATAGACATAGACATAGACATAGACGTAGACGGTAGACGCAGACGTAGTCGTAGGCGCAGGCGTAGATGACGTCGACGACGTCGACGACGACGACGCCGCCGATGGCGCGGGCGTAGACGACGTCGACGACGTCGACGTCGACGGCGCGGCCGAGAGGCCTACGGCGCCTTCCGCGGCAAGAAGGCGAGGTGACCGCGCGGGAGCCCGCGGCCGCGGCCCGCGGGGACGACGCAACGCCCGCTCGGCGTGGCTTCGCCGCTGCCGCACCCGATCGCCCCGGGCTTCGGACCCCTGGGGCGAGTCCTCCTCCTCCTCCTCCTCCTCCTCCTCCTCCTCCCCCTCCTCCTCCTCCTCCTCCTCCTCCTCCTCCTCCTCCCCTCCTCCCCCTCCCCCTCCTCCTCCCCCTCCCTCCTCCTCCTCCCCCTCCTCCTCTCCTCCTCCTCCTCCTCCTCCTCCTCCCCCTCCTCCTCTTCCTCCTCCTCCCCTCCCCTCCTCCCCTCCTCCTCCTCCTCCTCCTCCTCCTCCTCCTCCTCCTCCTCCTCCTCCTCATCCTCCTCCTCCTCCTCCCTTTCCTCCTCCTCCTCCCCCTCCCCCTCCTCCTCCTCCCCCTCCCCCAGCGAGAAAGAGTTTGGGACCACTGGGCTCAGGGGACCCAGACCCCCTCGAGCAATGAAAAAACCTGACGGCAGGTTTTTCGTCATTTTCGGCCTCCGGGGGCCCTCACCGGGCCTCGGGAGGGTCAAAAATGGACTCGGGATGCAAAGCCGGTCATGGGAAAAGGGTCGGGACCTCTCGGGGTCGACGTAATGAAAAAATCATTGCGTCGGGGGTCTGGGGAGATGGCGCTGACGAGAAGGGGGAATTACATCATAGAAAAACCCCAATCAGTGGATGGCTAGATCGATAAGGATAGCGACCCGGAACCAATAACCAGGACCCCAGGAACCTGGAACCGGGAACCTGGGAACCCAGCCGGCCACCAGAATCGGCGGGAACCCGTCGCCAAATATTTCAACGCTCCGCTCGGACCCCTTCAGCGCAAGCACTGATTGGGGAATAGAAGACTTGGAGCGAGCCCTCCTCCTCCTCCTCCTCCTCCTCCTCCTCCTCCTCCTCCTCCTCCTCCTCCTCCTCCTCCTCCTCCTCCTCCTCCTCCTCCCCCTCCCCCTCCCCTCCCCCTCCCCCTCCTCCTCCTCCTCCCCCCCTCCTCCTCCTCCTCCTCCTCCTCCTTGCGGGAGTTTTGCAGCTGAACAGCTGGCACAGCTTGGCAAGGAATGCAGTACACGCCTCGACGGTAATCGGATCGATTATCGTAAGCGTATTCTCCAGGGTCTGTGGCCTAAGGTCTACAGCAAGAGGGAACAGGCCAGAAGAGCCAGGAAGCAGCGGGTTTAATCTGCTTCCATTCGTAACCGACACAGTCGCCATACCCGTAACTCCGTAACTCCTCCTCCTCCTCCTATCCTCCTCCTCCTATCCTCTCCTCCTCCTCCTCCCTCCTCCTCCTCCTCCTCCTCCTCCTCCTCCTCCTCCTCCTCCTCCTCCCCTCCCCCTCCCCCTCCCCCTCCCCCCCTCCTCCTCCTCCTCCTCCTCCTCCTCCTCCTCCTCCTCCTTCCCTCCTCCTCCTCCTCCTCCTCCTCCTCCTCCTCCTCCTCCTCCTCCCTCCTCCTCCTCCTCCTCCCCCTCCCCCTCCCCCTCCCCCTCCTCCCCCTCCCCCAGCGAGAAAGAGCCGAGGAGCAGCAGCAACGGCAGCGGGAGACGACGAAGGTGCGGGAGGGCAAACGGCCGACCGCGGGGTTTTCTTCGGCGCCAGCGTTGCGCGCGGCCACGGCGGACGCGATGGCCCCCCCGGCCATCGCGGCCGCCGTGGCTTTTTCTCGCTGGGTCTTTTCATCAAGAGGGTGGTGGCGGGGTTGCGAACCAGGCGCGAAAAGGGTTTTAAAGGAACCCTGTCGGGCGCCCCTGGGCTCCCAACTGGTCCCGAATGAGCCCCTTGGGGCAGGTCCCGTCCCCCCCCCCCGCCGCGCCCCCATTAAGGCCACCCCTCGCAGTTTCGGCCGCCCGACAGGCGCCTTGCCAGGGACCACCTTCCTGGCAGCGACGCGCTGGACGAGAGCCAGCAAGCTCTCGCCACCACCATGATGGTGGTGGTCTTGTCGTTCAGCGGCTTCCTGGGCCGCTGCAAGGATCGCCCGCCGATCCTTCGGCCGACAGCGAAGCCGCTGCGACCGTCTGTCGGCGTCGTTGGCGTAGTCGTCGTGTCGCTGGCGTCGTTGTCATGCCGTTGGCGTCGTCGTCCACGTCGTCGGCGTCGTCAGGTGCCCCGACGTTGCCGCCGTAATTGTCGCCGTCGCCGTCGTCGGTCTTGGCATCGCTCGGACGTGTGCCGTTTCACTTTGACGAGGGCGGCGAGGACCATCGATGGGCATGCGAAAAAAAACCACGCACGAAACCGGAACACAAAATCACAGGGAACGGGCTTCCGAGCGACGGCCAGCGGCGGCGTCGTCGTCGCGCGCCCCTGAGGAGTGGGCCACCGCGGAGAAGTCGCACCTGGAGTCCAAGTTGGCCAAAAATAAGAGAAGAAATGCTTTCGTCGTCGTTTGCCGCGAGCGAGGGCAGGGGGGGACGTCGGGCGGCGAGCGCGAGGGGGGTGGCGATGTCGCGGGGGCGCGTAACCGTGGGGCGACCCCGGTGAGGGACAGAACGGCGGGGGCGGGGGCCCCCCCCGCCCCTCCTCCCCCCCCGAAGCACGCGCGCACGCCGCCGCCCACCCTCCCGCCCGCGCCCGCCCCACCCTGCCCAACCCCACCGAACCCGCGCCCACGCCCGCGCCCACGCCCGCGCCTGCGCCCGCGCCCACCCGCCCGCCCCCACGGCGCGCGCCCCCTGCAACGTCGGCTCGTCCGCGCTCATTTCCGCGATGATTTCGCCCGCGCGAGACCGCGAAGGTTCGCGGCGCTCTGGCCAAGCGGTTGGCGCCTGGCGCCGCGGAGGTCACCTGATGACGGCCTGGCATTGCGGAGAGGGGTGCGCTGCCCCAAGCGCGCGCGTGCGCGTCGCCGCCGGCGCCCCGCCCGACGGGAGCCAAGAGCGACTTCGGTAACCGCCGCGGCAGGCGCCGTCTCCGCGGCGCGCGCGCGCTCGTCGCTGCCGCGGCCAGAGGGGGCGATGGGGCGCGTTCCTCCTCGGGCGGTGCGAAGGGCGACCTTAGCCGGGCCCCCCCCCCGCCACGGCGGCTCACGGGGCGCCCCCAGGGCGCCGAAAGCACCGCTCGCGAGGCCAGGGGGGCAGCAGCACCGAGCGAACGGCGCGGGCTCCTCATGACCACGAAGATCGCGGCGGGGGGGGGCGGTGCCAGCCGTCAACAACCTGCGCAAGTGGCACCGCGGCGTCCTGCAGGCGACGCAGGACACTCCGTCCCAGACCTCCTGCAAGTTGCTGCGGGACCACTTGCGGCGGTTCAAGGCGGAGCGGCGCGAGCGCCAAAAGCTCGAGCAGCTCCTCCAGGCCGTTGACGGCCACGGCGGCAGCGCCCAACAGTCACATTATGTGACCAGGAACGCCAAAAAAGACCGCGCCGCAAAAGGGGGGGGGGGGGGGGCGCCTGGGGAGGCGTCATGGCGTCGGGAGGGGCGCGCCCGTGCGTCAGGAGGGGCGCGCCCGCCCCGTCACCGCGCGATGCCCACCAGGGCAAGATACGCGCCGCGGCGGCGGGAGTAGGCTCGCCGCAGCGACGGGGGGGGGGCGCGGCGACAGAAAGCGAAAGTCTCGATGACGGGCTGAGGTAACGGCGCCAGGGGGCACGCCGCGCAGCGGGGCGTGCCGCGGTGACGGGGCGCGCCGCGGTGACAAGGGTGGAAGGGCCGTTTTTCCTCCTCCTCCTCCTCCTCCTCCTCCTCCTCCTCCTCCTCCTCCTCCTCCTCCTCCTCCTCCTCCTCCTCCTCCTCCCCTCTCCTCCCCCTCCTCATCCCCCCCCCTCCTCCCTCGTTTCCTCCTCCTCCTCCTCCTCCTCCTCCTCCTCCTCCTCCTCCTCCTCCTCCTCCTCCTCCTCCTCCTCCTCGGGTCGCCTACGACCCCGGGGGGAACCGCGCGCCCACGGCTGGTTGGGGGTCCGAGGTGGCCCAGCGCTGGTTCTGGCCAGCGGCAAAGAGAGGGAGAGGCTCGAGGCTCTGGGTCCCAGACTACGTTTTTCTCTCCGGCCTCCTGGGGCCGTTTTCGGAGCGCTTGGGGCCGCGGAGAGCGGGGCCATGGGAGAGGAGCTGCGCTCGCGTCGGGCGCGTCCTTCCTCGACGGGAGGAATCTTCAAAACAATGGTCAGACAAAGTGCGTTCGGGGGCGGTTGTTATACAATGCCGTCACTATGTTGGAACATGCGCGTGGTATGTTTTCACGTTTCGCCCATTATCCGCCAGGAGGGGGACGCGCCCGACCTAGAGCTGCGCCAGATGGACCCCAAGGGCCGATGTTTAGCGGGTTTGCCCTTATCCCCCTTTCGTAACAGATGTTTTCAAGGCCTCGTAGTTCAGACAATCTGGCCGCCTCCAGTCAGAGACGGCGCGTTTTGCCCCCTGGCGATTGCTGGCGTGACTGAGTAAGAGGAGGGAGGCCCAGTATCGTTTAGCCTGTCCACGTGCCCACTGGGCCTTAGCAGTTGGCGTTGAACGCTGGCGGGGGGTCATCTTTTGCAGATGTTCTGCATACGGCCAACCAGACAGACGCAACAATCAAACAAACGAACCGAATGCGACGCGGACGAGAGGCCATCAACGGCAAAACACGTGACCCCTAAACGGGCAAACTTATCTAGAACACGACAATCCAGTGTTTTATCATCATCTAAATCAGCATTTGGCCAAGTGTCATCAGCCCCCACCAGTCCACCTTCCTACGTGGGGATGTGCCGCGCGAAGCACGTTCTTCTGAAGGCTTGTCGTTTATGCTATTACTCTCAAGGCCTCATCGTGCCGATTGTGGAGTATGCTTCTGGAGGTTTCGAGTTCGTTCGAGATCGAGATATCGGAGAGAGCGTGACCCACCGCCGCTTCACTCTGGAAAATGTCCCCCCTCTTCCTCCGGAGCCCGGGGTTCGCCCCCCCCTCCGAAAATCCCCCCTTGCTGGACCCCCCCCCTCCCCCGGCAAACCCCCCACCCTCCGTTAACCCCCCCCCCCTCTGCGGAAACCGCGGGGGGTCATGCACTACCGGTTCGACCCCCCCCCCTTCCGGAAAACCGGAGGGGGTTCATTACCGGTTCGAACCTTTCCCCCCCTCAGAAAACTGCCGGTTCAAACCCCTTCTCCTCCCCTCCAGAAAACCGGGCGGGGGTCACTGCCAGTACGAACCCTATTCCACCCCCCCTCTTCCGGAAAATTGGGGGGGGGTCACTACCGGTTCGAGCCCCTCCCCCCCCCCCCACGCTCACCGTCAGCCCACCGCCCGCACCACATCCCCACCTTGTGTCCCCAGCACTACTGTCCTTACCACCAATGTCCCCGCTGTTCCCACCACCGTCCCAACTGTCCCCACCAGTGCCCCCACCACTGTCGCACTGTCCCCACTGTCCCCACCAGTGTTCCCACCACGGTTCCATTTTCCCCACTTTTCTCCACGGCCCCAACCATTGTCCCACCCCAGACCCCCGACGTCATGATTTGTTCATGACGTCGACCCCCAGAGATCTCGACCCATTCCCCGGGACCGGCTTTTCATCCTCAATCGTTTTTTGACGGTCCCGAGGGCCGGTTAGGGCCTCCAAAGGCCGAAAATTAGGAAAAACCTCCCGTCATGATTTTTTCATTACTCGAGGGGGTCTGGGACTGCCCCCATTTGTCCCGCTGTCCCACTGTCCCCGCCGTTGTCCCACTGTGCTGTCCCACTGTTCCCACCACTGTCCCCACCAATCCCCACCACTGTCCCCATTGTACCTCTGTCCCATTGTCCCACCGCCGTGATCGCCACCGCCCTCACCACTGTCCCCACCACCAGTGTACCCTCCACTGTCCCACTGTTCCCACCACGCTCCCACTGTCCCCACACCACTGTCCCCACCACCACCGTCCCCACCATTGTCCCACTGTCCCCACTGCTCAAACCATTGTCCCCGCTGTCCCCACCAGTGCCCCCCACCAGTGTCTCACTGTCCCCACTCCCCCCGCCATTGTCCCACCACGGTCCCACTCTCCCCAGTTTCCCCACGGTCCCCACCATTGTCCCACTGTCCCCACTGCACCCAACACTGTCCCACTGACGCCGCCGCTGTCCCACTGTGCTGTCCCACCGTCCCCACTGTCCCCATCACTGTCCCACTGTCCCCACTGTCCCCGCCATTTTCCCCACTGTACTACTGTCCCACCGCTGCCTTCACCACCGCCTTCACCACTGTCCCCACCACTACCGTCCCCACCACTGTCCCACTGTCCCCATCACTGTCCCGGTGTCCCCTCGCCACTGTCCATACCACCACCGCCCCCACCACTGTCCGCACCACTCACTGTCCCACTGTCCCCGCACCACTGTCCCCACCACCGTTCCCGCCATTGTCCCAGCATCCCGAGGAGCGGGAACCGAGGAGCGGCAATCGTTTGCGGGCGGCGAGGAGGAGGGAGGGGCTCGAGCCGGTATATATATATATATATATATATACATACATACATACATACATACACACACACCTACACATACATATACATATACATATGCATATACATGTATATATACATAGACATAGACATATACATATACATATACATATACATATACATATACATATACATGTGCATATTCATATAATGTATATATAGATAGATAAAATGTGCATGCCGGTTCAGAAATAGTATAGTACCATGTTGTATTGGAACATCCGGGGAGGCTTGTCCAGGGGGGGTCCGAGGGGGTTGTCCAGTTCTTCGCGGGGGTGTCCAAGGTGTTTTCCGGGCCGTGCCGGTTTGCCAGCGCACGTTCATGCCTTAATCATCCATATCATCACAAGCATGGCGCATCCAGTCAAACCCAGCTTGAAAGGACGCCTCTCTCCTCCTTCCCCTCTTGTTCGTTCCTCCTCTCTCGCGTTTTCCCGCTCCCGCTCGCACATCCGGTTTGCTCGCTGTTCCCCACGAAGCCTGGCTGGCTGGAGTCTTGTAGTTGTAGAAGGTAGTTCCAGCCGCGGGACCAGGGCACAGAAACATGCTCAACATGAGGATTGCCAGTTTCGCTTGAGAGATCCTCGTAACGCTGGGCTCACGCACGCCCAGATGTGAGGTGTTCGACCCATTTTCGCATGCGATATCCTTGCAAGTCTGGGTTCGGAGATGCCGCCCAAGAGGTGGTCCGTTCTCGCAACCTTGGTCTCAGAGATGCCCTGACCTCAGGTGGTCCGAGAGAAGAGAGCCACTGGCGACCCCCAATACAAGGACAAGGCCTTTCCCCGCACGTCGGATTCTCGAGAGGATTGTCCGGGGGGTTGTCAGCCAGGTTGCCCGGGGAGTTGTCCGGGGGTTGTCCAGGCGCAATCGTACCCAAGCCCTCTCTTGGGCTTCGTCATTCTGCAGCCTTCAGCCTTCTCCTCATTCCTCAGCGTCCGAGCCACTTTCCCCTGCGACATCCTCGCAACTCCCATCATCTCAGGGATGGCATGTATTGACCTGAGGTTGTCCAGCCAGTTTCGCCTGAAACATCCTCGAAATTTTCGGCTTATGAGATGCTGCGCGCGAGGTTGTCCAGCCAGTTTTGCCTGAGACAGCCTCGCAACTCTGTGAACAAAGATGCCCTGACCCAAGGATGAGCAGACACAGGACTCCCACGGAATCGGGCGGAAGGTGGCAAATGGTGCTGTCGTTGGAGCGCCGGCTATATCCCTGAACGGGAGTGGTGCAGTCGCCCGCGCACTGGATGTTGCTCTCGCCTGAGCGCCAGCCACTTCCTTAATTGAAAAAGGTGCTCGCTCCAGTGCGCCAGCCACATCCCTGGTAGGGAACGGTGCTCTCGCTCAAGCGTTGGCCACACTTGCATGCTAGGGCACTTGTGGTCTCCATCTCGGAGGGGTTGTCCGGTTTGTCCGGGGAGTTGTTCAGGATTTGTTAGTTGTTATTTTTTTTGCTAAGAACATGATATATACATATATATATATATACACACGCACACGCGGTATATATATATATATATATATATATATATATATCTATATATATATATGAAAGAGCGTGTTCTACCGCTGCTGGCGGGAAACCAGGGGGGGGTCACTACCGGTTCGAACCCCTCCCCCCCCCCCCCCTCCGGAAAACCGGGGGGGGTCACTACTGGTTCGAACCCCTCCCCCCCCCCCTTCATCATGAAAAGGGGGGGGGTCACTACCGGTTCGAACCCCCCCCCCCCCCTCCCCCTCGAAAACTGGGGGGGGTCACTACCGGTTCGAATCCCCCCCCCCCCTCGAAAACCGAGGGGGGGTGCGGACAGTGGTGGGGACGGTGGTGATGGGGACAGTGGTGAGGGGACAGCGGGACAGTGGTGGGGACAGTGGGACAGTGGTGGGGACGGTAGTGGTGGGGACAGTGGTGAGGACAATGGTGGGAACAGTGGGGACAGTGGACAGTGGTGGGGACGGTGGTGGTGGGGACAGTGGTGTGGGGACAGTGGGAATGAGGTGGAAACAGTGGGACAGTGGAGGGTACAAGTGGTGGGGACAGTGGTGAAGGCGGTGGCGAGGACGGCGGTGGGACAATGGGACAGAGGTACAGTGGGGACAGTGGTGCGGACAGTGGGGACAGTGGTGGGAACAGTGGGACAGCTTAGTGGGACAGCGGAGGAGTCAGTGGGACAGTGGGGACAGTGGGGATAGTCGGGCAGTGGTTGGGGCCGTGGAGAAAGTGGGGAGAGTGGAACCCTGGTGGGAACAGTGGTGGGGACAGTGGGGACAGTGCGACAGTGGTGGGGGGCACTGGTGGGGAGAGTAGGGACGGTGGTGGAGCCAGTGGGGACAGTGGTGGTGAGGACAGTGGTGCTGGGAACAACAGTGGGGGATGTGGTGCGGACGGTGGTAGGGACCGGGAGTCGTTTGCTGGCGGTGAGTGGGGGGGTGGGGAGGGGTTCGAACCGGTAGTGACCCCCCCTCCGGTTTTCGAGGGGGGGGGGTTCGAACCGGTAGTGACCCCCCCCCGGTTTTCCGGATCCGAGGGGGGGGTGAGGGGAGGGGTTCGAACCGGTAGTGACCCCCCCCCGGTTTTCGAGGGGGGGGGGGGGGTGTTAGGGGAGGGGGGGGGGGGTTGCGGAGGAGGGGGGGGGAGGGGTTCCAGCAGGGGGGGGATTTTCGGAGGGGGGGGGGAAAACCCGGGTTCCGGAGGAAAAGTGCGGCAATTTTCCAGAGGAAAGCGGCGGTGGATCACGCTCTCTCTCTCTCTCTCTCTCTCCTCTCTCTCTCTCTCTCTCTCTTTCTCTCATATACATATATATATATATATATATATATATGTATTCGCACACGCACACAAAACATAGTATATGCCCGGTGAAGGACGTTTTTTGGCCGTACTGCCCGGGTAACAATACAATGTCAGGAGGTCTTTGTAATAAGTGTGTTGTTACCCTTGCTCCACCAGGGGGGCACATAACTATGGCTAGCATGTCCTGCTGCGTCCCAATGACGGGCAGCCCTCAGACAGCCCCAATGGAGGGAGCCTTGCGGACACCGGCGGCTCAGGGGTGCCATCCCGCGGGGCACGCGCGGGCCTGTGCGCGGCAGTGCAGGCGGGGGAGCGCGCTGCGCGGCCACTGCTTGCCAGCAGTGGCCCCTGCCGTGGACGAAAAAAACGTCCCCTCGAGGTGGAGGAGGAGGAGGAGGAGGAGGAGGAGGAGGAGGAGGAGGAGGAGGAGGAGGAGGAGGAGTGAGGAGGAGGAGGAGGAGGAGGAGGAGGGAGGAGGAGGGAGGAGGAGGGGGGAGGGAGGGAGGAGGAGGAGGAGGAGGATTACGCTGTACGGATTACGCAGTGTGGCCGTCCACGCGGCACAGCTCGCAGCTCGGCACCGCAGCTCCAAGGGGAAAGTCGAAACCAACACCAAGACCCTGGTGCCGAGAGAGCCGTCTTCAGATTCATCCAGCGTGCTCCGGAAACGCTCTGCCGGAGCACGCTGGCACGCAAGGAATTCTCAGGCGCATCTCACGCCAAATCTGGCGGGCACGGATCGTCCTCGTCCGCGCCGCAGAAAAGCCACTCTGCTGCCTCGTCCTCTGGGTCGAGGGGCCTTGCCACAGGCTGGGAGGAGTCGCCAGGAATCACAGCGGGAGCACCGTCCTGAGCTCTCGACGAAGCCACAGCCAATGGGGCAGGTCCTCGGGCCCCAGGGTCCCCCGCCACAGTCGATTTGGCTACGTCTTCAGCACAAACGCGCGCATGCAACGCCTCGAGGATCGATTTAGGAGGGCCCTCGCGGCGTGGGTACTGGTCTCGCCTGATGCGAGCTAAATTCTCGGCTCCTTTCCGTGATCTCCCAAGGCATCTGGCCTCGAGATGTTTGAAATCTTCCGTCGCATACCTACCGCATTCGTGGCAGAACACCATGGAATACTTGGGCCACTTTCCAAGTCTGTGAGTGCTGTGCAGCTCCCTCCCGCCCAGGCCCCTCAAAACACCCTCGCCCACAGCCCTGGGGGCCCTGTTCAGGACGGGGGGGGGTGGGACAGGCGGGGCTGGCGGAGGTACGCACGCAGTGCTGCAGAACTCCAGCAGGCTCGAGGCATGCACTCGCTGGTTGCACACCTCGCATCTCCATTTAGCGCCGTCCTGGGCCATCTGGTGGCCCGTTTCGCGGAGAGCTATCTTCACGCCGCTCTCGAGGGCCCCACGAGGCGCGATATCTTCGCGCTCGGCCCGGGTCGTGTCGCAGTCCAGGGCAAGTTGTAAGGCCTTGGGCGCTCGACGTCTGACAAGAGCGGCAACAGCATCCCAACTGTCAGCGTGGGGAGCAGCATGCACCTCGAATCCCTCCCAAGCCCGCTCCGCCGCCTCCCCCGCCCAATGGTCGGCCGTGGCATTGCCCACAGCAAAGAAGAGGTCCCTGTCTCTGACCAGACGGCCCGCGTCCTCCTCTTCAGCGTGAGAGGGGACCCATTCCAGAGAGACCCGGCGGCCTTCGGCCGCCGCGCGAATTCTCGCCCAGAGATCCTCGTTGGGCCCCCTGGTGGCCTTGCGCCTTCTCCGGGGCCAGGCTTTTAAAAGACCCTGATGGTCCGTCACGAAGTGCACCGATCCCGTAGTCTGCTCAAGGGCCATCGCCAGGGCCAGCGTCTCCGATCGGGGCACAGACTGTCGGCAGCCAGGGAGCGGCGCGGCTATCATCGCCCCCAGGCACCAGCTATCTTCACGCCAGGCCAGGGCAGCGACAGCAGCTCCACACCTACGGCGACGCTGATCGTCCGAGTGCTTCCCTCCCGACCCGTCCCCAAACAGCGTCAAAACCCCGTCCCTCCGATAGTCACCCAGCTCACCTACCCCAAAAAACAAGGTTTCCTGAGCCAATCGCTCTTCATCGAACCTGGGGGTGGTGAGGCGGTTCGGCGCTAGGCCTCGCAGCCAGACCGAGGGCTCACTCTCTACGCTGGCCAGCGCCCTCGCCACCAGGTGCTCCGACTTGGCGAACTCACTGCCCTCGCTGATGTTTTCCGTGCACTTCCACATCCTGTGGGTCAGCGTCTCTGGCTCCAGCCCGCATCTCGGGCAGGTGGCGCTGACGGCATAGCCGCGCTCTCGCTTCCTGGCGCGGCTCCACTGCCCGCCACTTATCACTGCCATCGTGCGACTCCACTCCACCCACATGCCTCTTCGAGCATATCGGTCGAGCTCGCGCCTCGCATGCAGCATGTCCGCGCCGCTCCCCAAGTTGCCGCCGTCCTCGTGGGCCGCCGCCTGCTTCCACAGCTGGCACATGATGTCCTCGCGGAGGTCGTGCAGGATGGGCTGCCGATCGATGAAGCTCCCAAAGGCCTCCGAGCTCGACTCCACCAGGTGCCACTCCGTGATCGTGCCGTCCACCTCTGGCCTGCTCCACGTGCCAGCAGTGCGCGGATCCCAGCCCACGTCCATGAGCATTGCCACGAGCGCGCCGACAGGGCCGAGCACGCGCCGCCAGCGCCGGGCTGCGCCGGCGCTCAGGAGCGCGCCGCGGATGGCAGGCCATACTCTATGGATCCTCGCATGGACCTCAGGCGCCGTCTCCCAGAGCTCCAGCCACGAGTCTACCAACTGGATGCGCAGCTTGATGGCTGGGTCCTCCTCAAGCCCCGCCGCCAGGACCGTGGTGAGGCAGCGTCCGCCAGCTTTGCCTCCAACTGCCGCGCCCGCCTGCTGCCTCAGCTTCCTGACGCTCGACGGCGCCAGGCCCTGGAGCTGGTGGCCGTAGGTGGCCTGTGGAGAAGCCCCCGTGCTCCACAGCCCCTTCGCCTCCTTGGCGAGAGCCGCGCTCCTCCTCATTCTCGTGATGCGGCTAGCGCGCCTGCCGGCCGCCAGCAGCCTCTTGCGCTGCTTCTTGCAGCAGCGCTTCCGCCCAGCTGCCGCGTCGCCGCCCAGGTCAGTGGCGTCCAGCGCCAACTGCAGCGGCAGAGCAGGCGACTCCAGTTCCGCCTGTAGCTCTCGGCCCAGCTGCGTGTCCGACGCCAGCAGCTTGGTCTTGTTTGAGATGATCAGGCCTCGCTCCTCGACGAAGCCCTCCACGAACTGGGTCGCCACCTGCTTCATCTCATGCTTCACCACGACGGATCCCTCGCACCGGGCTGTCGTGTCGTCCACGAATGTCCAGAGGGACGCCTGCGGGGCCACCTGGTGGGCCTTTTCCAGCACCCCGTGGATCAACACCTTGGCCAGGGATACCCCCCTCGCCGACCCCGCCACTACCGAGCGCGTCGGCCAGACCAGCTCGCTGATGCCGTGGCGCTGGTCCTTCAGGATGCGAGGGCCCAAGAAGAGCTCCACCTCCATGGCCACGACAATGGCAGGGTACTTCACCTGCACCGCCAGCTCCATGAGCAGCGCCAGGCTGATCGTGTCGTAGAAGGTCTGGAGGTCGAGGAGGAGAGCGGCCGACGCCAGCTGCAGCTCCCTGCCAACCTCGTCGAGCAGGCCACGGTACAGCGCAGCCCTGAGCGCAAAGCACCCTCGCAGGGCGCCGTCCCAGAATGCCCCGAGCTGCTCTGTCCAGTTGTCCACGATACCGCCTCGAGCTTTGCTCCATATCTTCGGCATCAGGGCAATCGTGCCCAGCACCCTGTCGCCCCCAGCAGGCTTCGGAACCGATGCCGCCACCACCGCCATGCACTGGCGAGGCCAGACGCCCTGGGCCTCGGCATCGTTCATCAGCTGCCTCAGCTCCTCGCGCGCTTCGTGCGGAAGCCTCTGCACCTCCGTCGAGCTCAGCACGTCCACGCCCATCGCCTTCCTGCCGTTTATGGAGTTCAGCGCCCTGTCGAACTCCTCCTGCTCCACTGGCGGGTAGTCCTCCTCCTTCGCTACCTCCAGGGTCCTTTGCAGCTGCCCCTGGATGTCCTCCAAGCTCACCTTCGGGTCTTGCCACAACCCTCTCCATTTGGACGCCCGGTCATTTATGATCGCCGCAGGGTCCGCCGTGGTGAAGGTGCCCGTGCAGATCTCGTTGATGATGGTCGGCTCGTCTCTCACGTGCTTGTGCAGCACCCCCATCTTGTCGCCCCACATCTCCTTCACCCACTTGGTGTAGGCTCTTCGTGCTTCCCCCATCGCGCGCGCCTGCCCTGCCGCCGCCAGCGCGCCCGTCAGCTCGAGCAACTTCTGTCGGTGCGCCGCCGAGAGGGTCTCGACCTTGACCATCATCTTTTGCCAGACCATGAAGCGCGCGCTGCCGAAAAAGTCTGCCATGCCCTGGTCCAGCGTCTCCTTGGCGATCCTCTTGAGCTCACCCAGCCTCGCTGAGCCTCATCGCGCCTGCCACGCGCGAGCGTCTGGTACCTCTGCATCAGCGTGAGCGCATAGCACATGGCGTCAGACTTGTGGCACTTCATGTGTGCTCTGCCTGGCGTGACCTTCGCTTTCACCCACTTCAGGTCGAAGCCCCTCCCGCGCCCCAGGTAGCGCGCCTTCTCCGACTCCTCCACCTTGTGGACGGCCAGCAGTGCGAGCTCCAGCTTGCTCACCCAGTTGCCGTACCTATGCGAGAGGTCCTTCTCCTGTTCCTCGCGGCCCTGGTAGGCGACGTGGTCGTCCAGCTGCTGCACCGGGCCCGTGTACGTGCCCACAACGGGCCCTCGCCCAGCGTGCTCTGGAAACGCCCTGCCGGAGCACGTTGCCCAACGTGCTCCAGCAACGCTCTGCCGAAGCACGTTGCCGTCTCGTCTGTTCTGGCCGTCGCTTCGCGGGTGGACTGGATGGGCTGGTTGGGCTTGCTGGTGACCTGGAAATCCTGTCTGCACCAGCTGCTCTTCCGCCTGCCTCCAGCACTCCAGTGGCACCTGGAAGGGCGCCTTGGGCTCCTGGCAGACCTCATCCTCCTCGTACAGCTTCGCGAAGGCATCCTGCTCCTCCGGGGGGAGTCTCGACTTCCTCTCCTGCAGCTTCTTCTGCTTCATCTTGCTCGTCTTGCTGTTGGGGTCCGCGCTCTTCCTCGGCCTCTGCGTCCGCGGCAGCGCCCTGGGCACCGCGAGCGCCCTCACCCACCATTCTTGGTAGGAGCCCTTGAGTGTGATGAGCAGCGCGCAGTGCACCTTCCAAGGCACCTCCAGCTCTGCCTCTACCATCACCTGGTCCGCAAAGTCCTTGCGCACCAAGCAGTAGTCCAGCAGAGAC